TGCCGATGGAGCCGGCCGGGCGAGCTGCGCTGAGGAATGCGCCGGGGAAGAAATCTGCTCCGACACGTTCCCTGGAGCTGCCGGCCGAGAGTGAAGCAATCACAGGCGCCCGAACGCCGGGCCGCCGGCTCCGCTCAGTTCGGTAGCTCGCCGCCTCCTCCCCCTGCCGGCTCCAGCCTCGCGCGGGGCTCCTGGCTCCTGTGCCGGTTTCCGGCCAGGGATGGGGGTGGGGCGGGCCTCCGGTGCTTTGGAATCTAGGATGAAACCCGTAACCCACCGAAAGATTGGGGGGAAAAATAAGAACCCCCACTTTCTTTGAGTGAATCTGCAGGATCGTTCAGGCACTAGACAGTATGTTTTAAAAATAGGGGTCTAATTTGTTGGAGTCTTCAGAAATGTAGGATTTCTTTGTTTAAAAGAAAAAAAGACATTCTTGATTTATTTTAAAAATCTGATTGTTGAGGAAGAAGAGCTAAAATGTCTCGAGAGGGAGTGAAGGAGGCTCGCATCCCTCTCCTTGGATACAATTTTCTTTGCCTCCCTGGTACACTAAGTTCAAACCTTGTAGACGCTGTCACTGCCAACTCCCAAATGCGGTTGAGAGTTAGTTATTGGTGCCCCAGACACAGAACGAGGAGTGTGGGGATGAGAGGTGGGGGAGGAAGACCTGTTCTGGGGGGATCTGAGATCCAGGCCCGGGCTGGGACCCCTTGTTCTTGTCCGGCTGTGTGTCCCCCTCCCTCTCCAGTTGAGGCTACCTCTAAACAGGAAAGGATCCTGCAACTCCACCACTCCCTAGGGGGTGAGACCTGTCCCATACTTCCCCAAACCACACCAGGAGCTTTGGCTTCCACCCAGTGCTGAGAAATCAGGACTGGAGGTTTAGGGAATCCAGCTCTCTCTATAAGCAGAGCTCAGTGAGAGAGAATCCTCCCTTCTGATACCCATAAGGGTCCTGGGGTGGGTAGAGCAACCACAGATGTCTCTCCATACTGCCCAGAGGGTCCCCTCAATTCCACATACCAGGCTCAGGGATGTTTTCATGGGAAGGCTTAGACCCGAAGACCTCCTAAGGGTGGGCCTGAAATTCCTCTGCATCCGGGATTGGGAGTGGAGGTGGGTAGTGAAAAATCACTGGCTAATGTTAGAGAGTGTGGCAAGTAACATTCTTGTAAATATGAGATTACTTGGTATAACACAACTCAGTACCAGGTTGTGAGCAACCCTGGGCACCCTCACTTCTGACTGCCACAATTAAGGACTGTATGATTTTAGTACACAGTATCATGCATTGCCTATGCTGCATTGTCTATATTATTTATAAAATATGATTTCTTGTATTAACTACCTAACATCTCACACATAAAAATACATTTCTAGAAGATGGACAATTCACATGTAGGGATAACATAGTGCATTATAGAGAGAGGGCCCTTTCGTTCTCTATCTCACCAAAACAGAACACTTCTTAGGAGATGGGGGTCCAGCAGGAATTCCTGGGGCAGGGGAGCTGATGGGCCAAGCCAAGGGGTCAAGCGGTAGGGTAGCAGGGGACCACCAAACCCACCGTGGGGGGGGGGGGGCGGGCAGGCCTAGAGCAATGGGGTGTGGGTTTAGAGTGGAGAGGTGGAGGAGAAAGAGCTGGCATGCCCATGTATGCACGCGGAGCTGAGCGGGTGGAAGTGAAGGATTAGAGAGAAGTTGAGAAATATCTTTGCGCGAAATAAACATCTCAAAGATTCCGGTGGGGTGGGGGAACACTACACTAGAAATAAACACTTTTTGATCACAGCCTCCTAGAGAAAAATATCTTTGAAATAAAAAAAATACAGCCCAATTGAGATTTAATACACTTGCAAATTGCGGCATGGAAATGGATATAAACACAGCATGCCAGCAGCTCTGTGCTCACAGGGTCCCCGTGTGGAAATAGAATCCTGGGGCTGACATATCTTGGTGATTGCAGGGGTCCAGGCCAGAGGCAGATGAGTAAGGAATTATCTTCAGACACCCTCCATCTTTCTACCCACTCAGAGCTTTTAGAAGCAGCAAGATTTCCAGATAACTCTGTCTATGCAATTGTGGTTTGTTCGGCAACATCTAGGCATAAACACGGCTGTCTCTCTTCAGTGCCTCTGGCTCTGAGAAACCTCATCCATGGCAGTCTGGGTTGGTGTGGGAGATGGAGACAATTGTTCTGCAAGACCCAGATAATTAGGGCTGAGATGTGTTGTGGCTTCTTCCTTCTCCCAATTATACAGACACTTGCTTCACTGCCCTGTTTTGCTTTTTCTCCCCTCCATATGAGTGTAGTGTTTTTTTTGGAGGGGGAAACAGGGAGAGGCAGAAATTCCTGTAGATAATCAGAAAGAAAGGGAGAAAAAGAAAGAGAGATGGGGTAGGGAGAGAGGAAGAAAGAAGCAGTGGTTTCTTTTGGCTATTCTAGAAGTCCCTACTGACAAGCCTATGGATTTGGTTTGGGAAGCGCAGCTAGCTGGATTTCTCGCTGGACAAGGTCACTTGGGGGGGTGGGTGGTCAAAAGGGTCTGAGCACTGATGTGATTTTTATTCTCTCTTCAAAGGTGTCATGAGGTTCCCAGGTATGAAGTGGTGTGTGTATGTGATCTGGAGGGAGACTAGGGAAGGGATGACTAAAATTAATAGCCAAGTCCCCACTCACTTTAGGCAGTGTAGACACAAACTCGCGATCTAAGCTGCCAGATGTTTCCACATCTGTAGCTCCCACTTCCTTTCCAGACAAGGCAGCAGACAATGAAAGGGGCTTCTTTGAGAAGACAAGACTGGAGCTGTTTCTGCAGGAGGCCAAAACAACCTGCAGTTTGGTCTGATCCATGGAAAGCTTGGCAGAATCAATCCTTGGCATCCTATAAAGAAAAACAACCCGTTTAGACCAGTTGTCTACTCTTTAAACTGATTTTTTATGGTTGTGTTGATTAAACTTCATTGGAAATTTAGAGTTGAGGTTAGGGAACCAAAATTGGGTAGATAATTGTGAGTTTACAGAAAGTGGGATAAAAAATTAGGGATAATTATCTGGTTGATTCAGAAGCTAAAACCTACTTTTACCCCAACTTTGTTCTCCAGGGAAAAGGGGGTATTTGAAAGCTGGATTGTGCCATGTGGCCCATTCCCATTTTAAAACCTACTGTATCATTATGTTAAGAGTCAAGAGAATCTGGGTTTAAAATTTGGCTCAGTCATGTAAGTTACTTTACCCACTCTGAGCCTCAAATTTCTGATCTTGTAAAACGGGTTTCATAAAATAAGTCTGGAGAAATATTCTGAGGATAAAAGACAAAAACAGAACAAGAAAACTCATGGTATCACTACTTACCTTTGTCATTTTATTCTTATCCCCAAATCATCAATTTCTCAAATCATGGTCACATCTATAAGAGTGAAACAAATCTAAGAACCGAGAGATTTAAAAACAAAAGATCATGTTCCAAAGAATTTTTAACTTAAAGAAACTGGTCTATTAAAATAAAATTATTTTGTTTTTCAGATTTTAAAAAAATCTTGGATTATTTATACAGAGGCAGAGAAAAATGCCAAGTCCAACAGTTTTCCCAAGAAATTATCTTCATGAAGACTGTCCAACCAGGCCATTGGAACCGCCTCTTCCATTTTCTTCCTGAGCAATTTTCCCCCTGAATTGGACTGTGACTGCTTCTCTCCCTATCCTGTATAGATCAGAATCTCTGGGAGAGAGCACACCCCTGAGGTGGTGGGTCTAGGGAAAAAGAGTTTTGTGAGGGTGTGGTGGGAACAGATATCTCAGGACAAACTTTGTGTCTTCACTGCAGGCTGTGTCCATAGTTCCCAAGGGCAGGGAGAACGAAGGGGGGAACCCCAAATACTCAGTCCTCCTCATTAGCTTTCACCCAAAGAAATGTAATAATTATGTAGAGAAAAAATGGAGGGCTGAGTTATTCAGATAATCACCCTAGTTCCCCACATCCCCCTCCAGCTCTTGCTGTGACCTTTTATTGGCAGGAGTGAGGATGGAGTGGACGACGGGGTTCTATACATGGTATAGATTGTTTTTGGTTTCTGCAAAACTCTCAGCACCTAAAGAATCCGAACAGTGGTAGTGGGTGGGATAGCAGGCATTTAGGGTTTAGGGTTAGGGTTGGTGCAAGGAACATAGACAGTTTCCTTTAGCTTTGAAGGAATGGAGAGAGAAGGGGGCTGGAACAGAATTTGTTCTGTTTTTGCGGCAGCAGAGTGTGCTTCCTCTACTTCTAGTAGAGTAGGTTCCTCTACTTCTAGGAACCTGATTTCCTGTGTCTTAGGGCCAGGTCCTTGGGTGTTGTTAGGCAGTTCACAACATCGGGCCCCCATTCCCAGAGTGACTGGCCCCCAAGCAAGCTGGCTTCACCTGGACACTTTGTTCTGTCTGTGGGTGCCTCAGATCCCTAGTGCAAGGCCAGTATCCAAAGGCATGGGGATCCATTTGGTGGCCTGTTCCCCCTGAAGCTGACCCCCTGCCCGCCACACCCTACCTGAAGAATATAACAGAACTCCTTCCTCTGCCCACTGGCTGAGTATAAACTGATAGGCACCCAAATGATCCAACTGCAGGAAGAGGGGGATTTTTCTGAATACCCTGAATCCTGCAGGCATGGCAGGCCAGGGTGGAATCTGGAAAGCTCTCCCTAAGGGTCCAAGGACCCTAATCTTAAGGGCTGTGCAGAACCACTTGGAGTCTGAAACAAAAGGAAACATCGGTAACACTGATCCTGTGTTAGTTTTTAAAACTGACATTTTGCTCATCATGGAGTTTTTGCATTCACTTTGATTTTTTTTTAAACATTGCATGAAAATATTACCTTGATTGCTGAGTTTTGGGCACTCCCTCTCTTACACTTTGTGCCCAAGGAGATTACCCCAGTGCCCTCACGCGAGTCGCGGCCTTGCTAATAACAGGATGAAAAGACTAGGAGGCTTCACAAGGCAGAGCAATTCCTGGCCCCCTCTCTTGAGCCCCAGCCTGAAATCCTGCGCCCCGGGGGGTGCCCCAGGGCCCTTAACCTGGTCTCGCTGTGCGCCTCACCGCCTCCCGCCTCCCTTCTCTCTCCTCCAGACGTGGTTCCCCTGCAGCCCGAGGTGAGCAGCTACCGGCGCGGGCGCAAGAAACGCGTGCCCTACACGAAGGTGCAGCTGAAAGAGCTGGAGAAGGAGTACGCAGCAAGCAAATTCATCACCAAAGAGAAGCGCCGGCGCATCTCGGCCACCACGAACCTCTCGGAGCGCCAGGTCACCATCTGGTTCCAGAACCGGCGGGTCAAAGAGAAGAAGGTGGTCAGCAAATCGAAAGCGCCTCACCTTCACTCCACCTGACTGCCCACTCGGCCGCCCGCCCCGTCTATTTATGTCGTCGTCGCTTTGTACCATAACCGAACCCACAGAAGGATGCCGCGCCGGTGCAAACGAGTATTTAATGTTCACAGAAAGAGGAACCACGCCGCCACCGGGGAGGCAAAGAGGCTCCGAGGCCACGCTTGGCCGATCCCTACTCCCCATCCCATCCCCAGGCCCCACCCTCATCTAGCCAGCTCGGTCGGCTTTGGAGGTGGGTCCGGATGGGCTGTGGGAGGGAGGCTACCAGCCTCGACTCCTCCTCGCTCTGCCTTGCCAGAAAGCCAAGTGGCAGGCGGAGAACCCCATCATTCCAACCAAAGCAGGTTGGGGAGTCAGATGGGCAGGATTCTTGCCCCATCCTGTGGCCAGGCTGGTTGAGGGACCCTCCTTAAGGGTGCAGCTTTGAAGCAGGCTCTGGCCAGCTCATGCTTTCCTTCCCTGTCCCTCGCACACTCCTTAGGCAGAATTTGCCAGTAAAGGTTTCCTGTGCATATTTTTAAAGTCGTGTTCACATTCGTGATAATTATTAAGGATCTGGCAGTATGATTGGAGTACAGGCCACACTCGGGGCTCCTAGGGTTTTTATTTCTTCTTCTTTCCTGTCTGTTTCAACAAAAGCTGGAATTAGCGCAGCCCCTACCTTCCAACAGCCAACCACAAAACTGAATTTCTTTGGGCTGCCGTTGCCCCCACTGCCTCCCATTCTGCTCTGCCAGTCAACAGTGAAAATCTAAGGGGGGACACGCAGTCCAGCCACGCTGCCCAACATGGCTTCTCTAGCCTCTTCCTTCCTCTCTCTGGGTGATGAGGTTGGGGATTCGGCCAGGCACAGACACAGAACGTTTTTTCTAAGACAGACATCTCTTCCAAGGGGATGGGGAGTGGGCTTCTCTGCAGAGTCCGCTCTGGTCACCTTTCCGTCCAGGCAACAGCTCAGGGGCGAGGCTTCACACTTTCGCTTTGACTGGTTTCCCGAGGAAAGCTAGAGGAGCTAGTGTGGGAGGTGGGATCGCCAGCCCGGTTAGCCGGCTGGACGTAGCCCAACGTGTTCCTCCTCAGAGGTCAACTTGGTGCTGTGGGGCCCCCTCACCTCTTCCCTTCCCACTGGTGCATTACAAAACAGTGTTCTTTGGAAATGTCCATCAGAAATAGGTTCTTTTTTTAAATGTTGTGTATCTGTATATAGTATTGTGATGTCTGAATGACAGTGTACTGAATGCAAAAAGGAAAAAAACAAACCTGTTTTTAAAATAAAATATCTTTTTTTTTTTTGCCTTGATTTTATTGCTCAGATTCTTTCTGAAGTCCTTTCTGTCCACTGACTCTTCGGGGGCCATCGAGGAAGCCCTGACTCAGCCAGAAAGGGCAGCAGGAGTAATGGAGACATCAGCCCCAGCTGGGTAGCTTCCAAAACTATGTTTTGCTCCACTTAAGTTTTAGAGTTAATTGAGTTCTCTATATGAGCTAGACGGGAGGAAACTCCTTCCCATCCTGATGCCCAGCTTAGCTGAGTGTGCTGAGGAAAGGTAACTAATGACTCCCTGGAAGCAGGTGAGTGACAAAAGCACATTGCTGGTCATTTCCGTTCATATTTGGGGCTGAGACCTGGTCCTGGGTGCTGAAAGGGCAGCATCCCTCCTGGGCCCTGGGTGAGGTAGTGGTGGTGGCAGTAGTGGCCAGCTAACCTCAGGATCCTGGTGCCCTAGCTCCCCCCAGAGGGTCCCAAATATCTTCAGCCAGTTCAGCTGGAGTCGGGGTTGGGACGGCGCAGCCTACCGGGGCAGCTTCAAGCTCCAATTTTCCTGGCTGCACTCTTTCCTTCCTGCATTAACATGTGCAGAGAAGTCAGGCCACTAGGACCTCCTGGGTCCCCAGTTTGCCAAGTCAAGCCTACTTCTCTCTAGAATTCCTGGGAACCTCCATTTTCCAGGCAATCAGGAGTGGAGGTAAATGCTGCCACTAATTTGTTTTCCTTGTCGCGTCAGTGCCTATCTCCCTATCTGGTGGAGTTAATGAGATCGTTAAGTTGTCAGGTTAAGAGACTTTTAAAAAGCAATACAGCCTAAAACAATGTTATCTCAGATTAAATCTTTACTGCAGCAATTTTTATTTATATATAATATTTTTCCTCTCCTGAGATGCAGAAAGATCGGAGGTATCAGGTTGGAAATCAGAGTCCTCCGTGCTCCCTATGCCTGATGGAGCTGAAGCTTTAAAACTTCATTTAAATGAATGTTTCTGGGGGTGAAACATACATACACGTGTTTATGCACACACACACAAACACATGGAGGCTGAGAGACAAAGAGCCTGAAAATTTTGCCCTCTGTGGGGGCTCTGCCAGGGACATGGCCGCCAGTCCTATTCCTTTCTCAACTCTGGGTTAACTACCAGAAAGCCACATGCTGCACTGGACAATGGAGATTATGGTGGATTTCCCAGGAATAAAGTTCATTCTTGATCCCATCTCCCCTTTTTCTTCCCGTCCATCATCTCAAACTCTTTCCAAAAACCCCTGGATCTCCCGAGATGGAAGGAGACTAAATATGTGTTTGACCAGAAAAAGGAACCTGGAGGACAAGAGGTCTGGGGCTCTCTTAGGATGACCCCACCCTCCTGACTGCTTTGGGTTGCCCCATGCACAGCTGTAGGCGCTGTGGAAACCGGGGACTCAGTGAGTAAGGAGCCTAGAGTTCTCCGAGGGATTCCGCCAGTCTGCACACAAACACTCACATAATCATCCAGTTCTTCCCATAGGAGGGACCCGCCCCAAAGTCCTGGAAGCCGGTGATGGGAAAGAGAAGAGGAAAGCCATTCGGGCCCACTGGGGATTCCTGGGACACTAGGAAATCCAGCAAAGACTGCAGCTCCTCCGAGTGCCTGTGAGCCCCAAAGTGCCAGGGTGTTTGGCACCCTCTCGTGCACTGGATTAAATATACCCAGATTTATTTTGGAAGACTATCATGCCCAGATTGATTTGGAGACGAGTCTCCCATAAGAGTAAGCAAGCATTGTGTGAGTGTGTGAGCATATGTTTTGGGGGAGGCAAAAAGGAGAGATATATTATTCCTTCTCTGTGTTGGTCCCTTACTTCCCCCCCATAATTGGCATTGTCTTTGGAGACTCTATGAGATATTTTTGTGAAGAGAGGTGTGTGTGTGTGTGTCCTGTGTGTGTGTGTGTGTGTGTGTGTGTGTGTGTGTGTAGCCTTTGATCAGCGAAGAATGTCCTGCCTGTGTGCACAGTGCATGCAAGTGCATCTGCGAGAACATCATCGACTCCTGGCCTGCTCATCTCGGGGTGGAGAGCCTATTTTCTCTTTATTTACATCCTCAGAAAGTCTTTCTCTCAAGGCCAGCCTCCTAGTGTGTGAAGAGTAAGACTGCCTGCAAAGGCAAATATGAGGGTGCAAGGGGCTGGAGAGGCCTGAAGAGCTGGGGAAACCTCCCTGTGGAAACACGGAGATTGAGACTCCTGCCCTCTTTCTCATAATCCAGTAGCACTCCCCACCCCCCAGACTTCCTAGGCCAGGACTGGGGGGCCCAGGTGGGCTGGGGCCTCACAGGACTCTGTCTAGAAGTCATTCTGTCAGGCTGCCAGGGAGGTCCTAGTTAGGTCCTTACCTGATCCTGGGGGAAGCCTCCCCAAACCTGGGGTCAGCAGAATGGGCCTTTCAGTCAGCAGTCCCACAGCCGGGAACCCACCTGAGGGAACAAGGCCAGCACTTCTCTCGCAGATCCCTCCTTGACTGCTCCTGAGACCATCTGCTCCTGGGGTTGATCCACAGGCGGCTGGGTCAGCAGTGTGGGGACAGCAGGCACGGTGGGTGCAAGGCTGGGCAGGCCCCTGGGGCAGCGGCCCTCTCTCTGAACAGCCCTCCCAGTGGAGCAGGGGTCCATGCAGCAGGCAGCCCTCTCTGTGATTCCATCTGTTCAGAGAGAACTCCTCAGCCTGGGATCTGCCTGGGTCCTTCTTGGATGGTGTGGAAGCCCTCCCCCAAGAAAACTCCAAGAGCGGCTCGGGCAGATGTGTATCTAGACCTGCACTGGCAGAGAATTGAGGGGCCCTGGGGAGCAAGGGGCTTCTGGGAGGAGGGGGAGGGGGCCAGAGCCTTTTCGCAACCAACCAGGCTCTTCCTCTTTTAGCCTTGACCGTGACTAGGTCTTTCTGACCTTGACATCACAGGGAGCCCAGGGAAGGGGGGCAGGGTGGAAAAGGCCTTGATCTTCCGGTGGCCAGCGAAGGGGAGGGCCGCTTGCCCCCTCGACGCGCCGTCCCCTTTCCCGCCGGAGCCCGCCGCCTCTGTTTACACACCGAGGAGGTGTCGTCTCCAGTCTAGACAAGGGCGCTAATAACGCCCATAAAAGGCGGCCTCTCCAGAGATGCTCCGGCAACTCAGCTCCCGCGCGCCTGTCGCAGGCCGCTCCCTCCGTCTCCCCCCGCCCCGCCCTCCTCGGATACCTCGGCTGGGCCGGCGGGCGGCCTTGGGGAGGCGGATCCCGAAGGTTTCTAGAGGCTGAGAACTGCTGCCCTTCACCCTTCTGAACCTCCTGTGTCTCCAAAGGTAAGTTTACCCGCGCCCCCCTCCGCACTCGCCCAACCCAGCCAGCCCCGTGGCTGGCAGTGCATTCTCCCACCCCCACCAGCCTCCTGGGCCGGTGGCTCCCACCCCAGTCTGCCCGCGCCCCTCTCCTCCGTCCGGAGTGGAATCCTGGTTTTGGAAAGCCGCGGAATAGTTGCGCTGAATGACCCCAAACAGATCTCCTCTCCTCCCCAGAGCCGGGCCAGGTTGAGGGGCGAGGGCACTCGGGGTAGCCCCCACGCAGCTCAGAGGTCCGCGGGGCCAAGGCCTGGTCTCTCTGTTACGTTGCAGGAGGCCGTGGGTGTGGCGCTGCATGAGGTTTTTTTTTTTTTTTTTTTTTTTAGCTTGGTTCCCACACCTTTCCTGACACTCAGTAATTCACTAGGTGGAGGATATC